TGTGTGTGTGTGTGTGTGTGTGTGTGTGTGTGTGTGTGTGTGTGTGTAAGGCTAAATGTGTCTTTGTGTTCTCTCAGCTGGCATCAATCAGTGTGTGTGTGGAGCTGAGCTGCTGCCCACAATGGAGCCCTTCACTGGACCTGGAGCCTTTTATCAATACACACACACACACACTTTGAGAGACCCCGAGGGGTGGGCGGTTGGGGTCTTGTGTGTGTGTGTGTGTGTGTTGCTTGGTATAAATCGTGTATGAGGATATCAGGAATTCATGTCGGGGTTCTGGATTGTGTGAGCCGGTTTCAGGTTTCTACCTTTTTGTGAGAACAAGTTTCTACACATTTTGGGAATCTGTCGGTATTGTCTGAAAAACAAACAGTGGTGCCAACATGATGCCAGAGCCTTAGATACCAAGATGATGGTGTTTTTAAACATGAATTATATAAATGGTCCGTACACAAAAATGAATGCTAAGCAGTCGCGTTTGGTCCTTGTTTCTTTCCTCATTGTGGTGGTCAAGGTTAGATTCAGTGTTTAAGTCTGTTTATACAGAAGACACAAAGTGCTTTATGTGAGCAGATAATAGAATCATAGAAACATTGAAAGTGCTTCTATTTATAAGGGTTATGTGTTCATTCATTGTGTGTGTGTGTGTGTGTGTTTGTGTGTGACACGGCACTCACACATGACCTCAGCTGGGACGGAGAGCTCGGGACTTTTTCGGAAACGAGGGGAAGTGAATCGGCTTTTTTTTTTTTAGCTCCGTCTGTTTACATCTCTGCATGCCAATCTAAGAGGACGTTCTCCTGCACCTATATGTTTGGAGTTTAGTGTTACACAAATCAAAACGGCTTACTTTGGCAATTGCTGCTTAACCCCCACACACACCCACACACACACACACACACTTCACTTAGGACTCTTCCATCTCTGTTTTCTCAGTATCAGATGACGAGCGCTGGATCCATTTGTCAAACAAACTGCTGGCGTGCGTTGGCGCTCGGGCCTGCGGATCACTCATTATCGTGAACACACTCGTCCATTAGTCCCAGATCTGCTTTCACCTCTTCTTCTTTTTTTTTCTTCTCTCCGTCCGTTCATCTCTCCTCCACCTACATCTCCCGTTTCCCTTCTCCTCCTCCTCCTCCTCCTCTTCGTCCGACCGGTCCATTCTTGTTGTCCTTGTCACCGTCCGTCTCACTCTGTCATCGCTCTTCTTGTTGTTTGTAATGATGGAGAGATTGACCCCCCCCCCCCCCCCCCAGACTGGAGGTCAGAGTTCACCTGGTCCCACTCCTCCTCTGTGCATTCATCACTCGCTGTGTACTAAAACCCAGAAGAACTTAAGCGCCACTTGTGCTGCTTCTTAACCCTCGTTTTCATTTCAAAGCCGGTGTTCTGTTTCTGTTTGCTCGTCAGGTTTCTGAAGTTTCTCTGGAAAAAGACTCTGAAGATGCTGCAGAGGCCCGACGAGTGTGAGGGCGAGTCATCGGAGCTCCAGCTCCTCTGAACACTCCCGTGTTTAGTCAGTCTGAAAATGGGATGCAAGTCCTCTGTAAAGAGAGCGGCAGGGCAGTTCTGTCTGAGTGGGAATTTAATCTTAAACACAGGAAACGGCCCTGAAACTAAAGGAATTCTGGGTAGAAGGACACGGATTCACTTCTTCCTCCTTGAAAACCAAACACAATGATTTTTAATCATCAATAGTTGGCGTACGATTCCAATAGATCGGACTATTTGGAAGACGGATCTCACCGGGATCTGGCTCTCGTTTCCCAGCTCTGACGTCTATGATGCTCATTTTATGAAGGAGCTGTGGACTCGATGCCCATTAAAGTGTTTACACAGGTTGTGTGAGTCTTCTGGGATGAAGCAGCGTGTTGTGGAGGCTCAGACCTCTGGGGAACCAAAGGAGATGCTGTTCCTCCCAACACAGGAATTCATTTAGTTTGTGATGTATGAAGTGATAGATTTATGAAGCGAGGGACCATCTGCAGCGTTTCTTTGAGTCTTTAATCAGTGATTCAGATGCGATGGTCGACACGACGCATTTAAGTTCACTGAGTGTTCTTTGATTCTTGCTGTTGACATCACCTGTTTCATCTCGTTATTTAAAGTCTCAGAACAAAGCGGTACAACAGCTGTCATCCTTTCTTCTGCAAGACGGGGACTTCCCCGGGCTTTAAAAGCACCATGATTTACACCCCCCCCCCATGATATACTGTCATCCTCCTCTCAAGAACAAGATCGTGTCAGCACTTTTATTCAGTCATCCTTCCAATGGAGATTGTTTTGCTACCGAGGTCAAGAGTGTTCAGCCCGTCCATGTGAGAGTCTCACGCTGCTGTTCACCACCGGGTCCTTTTATAAATCCTCCGGGATGCCAGTGTTGTAAACTGTCAAACTCAACATATATTGCATTTAGACATATGGCGTGTTTATAGGATCATATTTATTGTGGAATGGTTGGTAAAGCCTGGATTACATCACTGTAAAAGTGAGAGGAAAATAAAGATATGGTTATGGTCTTTCTCCAAATATAAACCACATTTCCCATAACCCCTGTTGGTTGTGATACCTTTTCCCCTGAAGAAATATGTTCCATGATAGCTTTGTGTTTTCACCATCTGCCTTCATAAGAAACGTTTAAACTTTAGCTCAGTTTCATCAAGAAGATCAGTGCCTCCACCTGTGTTGTGCCATAAAGCGAACAGCGTCAAATAGAAATAAGATTAACATTTGAATTATTTACAATCCCACAATTCCTATGTCATTGTGAATATGTTGTTTAGTTAAACAGGTCATTATTAGTGTGTGTTAAATGTTGCATTGAGCTGCTGTTTCTTTCCACTCAAGCATGTAAAAACCCTCCCTGCCACGTTGTTATCTCCTGACTACTGTGTGTGATATATATATATATAGAGACGTTCACTGACTCCTCCCCCCTCCAGGTGATGGCGCTAGCGGAGGCGGCGGAGCAGAATCGTGCGCTGCTGGAGGAGGCGTTCGTCGGCCTGCGCAGCGCCACGCACCTGCTGGTGCTGCTGCTGTCGCTGTGGCAGGGCCTGACCCCCGACCAGACGGCCATCCTGGAGGCCACGCTGCTGCCGCTGCTGCAGGACACGCCACAGCTGGTACACGCACACGCACACACACACACGTACATATACACACACACGCACACGTATGGAGGAAGCCATTAAGATGTCAGTGTCTGTCCATCCAGTCCGCTCAGTAAACACAGCCGCCGCTTAGACACACACTCTTAAAAAACTTTTAAAATACGTTAAGTACTTCTGGTCCCTGAGGAATACACACACACACACACACACACATTCTCAATCACACACTGACTCTCTGCTACTCAACTCTCACCTGTCAGCCCTGCACTGGTACCTGTTTATGATTTAAGCATTAAAACTGTGTGTGTGTGTGTGTGTGTGTGTGTGTGTGTGTGTGTGTGTTAGTTTTTCCATAGCCCTGATCAATCCCCTCAACCTCTCATTACCACTGAGTCTATTTCCAGCCTCCCCACACACAAATACACACACAAGAGGTCAAGGTCACAGCAGGCCTCGGTGTGAGTGGATGACACATTGGTCTTTAATCGGCCTCTGAGTCATACTGTGAGGTGTGTGTGTGTGTGTGTGTGTGTGTGTGTGTGTGTGTGTGTGTGTTAGTTTTTCCATAGCCCTGATCAATCCCCTCAACCTCTCATTACCACTGAGTCTATTTCCAGCCTCCCCACACACACACACACACACACACACAAACATCTGTGCCTTCATAAACAACCGTACATAGAATATATTTTACAGTGCACACACACACACACACACACACACACACACACACACAGACTGTAGACAGGAATAGGTTCAGAGGTTCAGTTGATGAGCCTCGGGGGACTGTGTACGTAAGTGTGTGTGTGTGTGTGTGTGTGTGTGTGTGTGTGTGTGTGTGTATATAAATGGGATTAATGGCATTAAGTGAATCTGCAGTAATCGGGGTCACGTCCACAACATTAAAACAAACAGGTGCACTGATGAGCTATTTTCAGAAAACACAACACACTCCAATACAGTGCCATGACTACGTACTGAGAGGGACGGGACGTGTAGTTCTGGTCAGTTATTATTTATGATAACTTAGTAATCGCCAACACAAAACATGCAGGTAATAAAGGTCACGCTGTCAGAACAAAGAAAATGAAAGTTACTACAAGGAACAGTCTGACAGTCTGCCCCTCTCAGTCCTGGTTCTGGTTCTCCAGTGCCTCCCTTCCCTCCAACGGATCCGGGTCTGTCCACGGTGGACCGGTCTCTGCTGGAGGATCTGGGTCTGTCCACGGTGGACCGGTCTCTGTATACATTTGCCGCCGGTTTGTCACGAGTGCCCGATGGGTACTGAGCATGTGCAACTCTCAACAGAGATGATCTACGTCCGTCTTTAACTTCTGGAGAAAAACAATCGGGCAACAGTTGCTTCATTTAGTTGCCCTTCCAATCCTCATTGTTTAGCTGGCAGAGATCTCAGCACAGGCTCTCATGGTCTATATAACAACACATTGTAATGAATTGTTCCAACAAAATATACATCTTTTTTTTTTTAATGTGGCCTAACTTTCTATATTTTTGATTCAATAACTCTGGAATGACAAAGCAAAGGCTTTGAAAAATGATTGTTTTATGTCTCTGGAACACTGTCCTTGCTTCCTTATCTTTTTACTGTTTTCTTAAATCCCCCGTAGATCAGAATATAAACTAAATTGCAGTGATTGACACGTGAGTGTGGTCTGTGACGCTTCCTGTCAGGCTGCATCTATCCTCACAACCTCTACAAAGTTAGAGGCACAATACAGGAAGCACACGAGTCCATAACGGACAAAGCGTCACATAGTTGTGATAACAGTGGTGGTCTCGATGGGCCGTTCCTCATCTGGACACTGTTTAGAAAGACAATAGCACTCAAACTATAAACGAGGGCGGACATGTCTCCCTTGTCCCCCGTTGACTTCAGTCAAAAACGAGTAAATCCTGTAACTCCAAATAAGACGTGCTGTTCAGTAACGATCCGCGTCTTTTAAACTCCCCGTCCTCGAAATCACAGACGCTGCAGGAAGCACTGAAACATGCAACAGAATACCAAACGACCCCGTATGTCATCCGGCACACTAGCCTAGGTTATGTGATAATCCGGCTGAGCTACAAAGTGCAAAGAACTTCAGACATTTGAAAAATGTGCCAATCAGAGAACAAGGGGAGGTTACCTCTACTTCTTCTCCTGAAACGTGATTTAGACGAGACGGATTCCACCTGATGCTCAGGATCCTTTATCTGGGGGGGGGGGGAATGCATCCGAGTGGCATCTGACTAAACGTCTCATTTAGTTGCAGCAAACCAGAACGCCTCCTGCTCCTCTTCCTGCATTCCTCTTGCATCTCCTTGTCCTCCTCCTCTTCCTCTCACTCTCTCCTCTATCTTCCTCTTTCTTCATTCCTCACCCTCTTCCTCACCTCTACTTCTCCTCCTCATGCATTTTGGTTTTTTTTGGTCTCTCATCGTTCTTATATCTTGTTTTACGTTGGACAAGAATAAAACCACAGAAGAAGACACAGGGTCCTGGATTAAAGGAGGAGAGAGAAGGGTTAAAGGGAGGAGAAGAGTTGCCACTCCAACTCTTCCTACATATTGATTCATGGAGCCATTCATTCATTCAATCGTCCGTCCTTTATTTTTTATTAGATTCATTCTGTTGGCCATCATGTTTCACCTCCCTGTAACCCTCCTCCTCTTTTCCCCATTCTTCTTAACCTCCCTCCCTTTTTCCTTCCCTCTCTCTCTCTCAATTCAATTCAATTCAATTCAATTCAATTTTGCGTTATTGGCATGAAAGTTTAGAAACGGTATTGCCAAAGCATCAGAAAATTAAACATACAATAACATCAATACACAATAACTTTATAACACCTTGTATAACACCTTTATAACACCTTTATACACAATAACACCTTGTCCCTCTCCGTCTCTCTCTCTGTCTCTCCCCCTCCCTCTCTCTGTCTCTCTCTGTCTCTCTCTCTGTCTCTCTCCCTCCCTCCCCCTCCCTCTCTCTGTCTCTCTCTGTGTCTCTCTGTCTCTCTCTCTGTCTCTCTCCCTCCCTC